TGATGCATGCTAGTCGTGATATTCGGTTTGAATTCAATTATTCAGGAAGTCAATTTTGGTTTCTTCAGTGGTTATCTTTAGCCAATCCAGTTTTGCCGACTGAGATAATAATTTGCCGACTTGCTGACGAGTGTGTGTGTGTGTGGGGGGGGTGTTCCCCCCCCCCCCCCCCCCCACACACACACCCCTGTAGCGCCGCCCCTGCATTTAGGTGGCATACCTGGAGTCCCCTTGTACGACATTCTTTAATTTCAAAGTTAAAAGGACCAGGATTACTCTCCAGATAAACATATCAGTATAGCAGCAAGAGAAGTATTTAAGAAAAGTCTTGTTCCAATTAGTAGTAGAGCAGTGTTTGCCAGAGGTTTCCGTTTAAAAGTTGTCTTTCGTGAATTTCAGTTAAACTGTGGTTTATGACTGGCGAGTTCTTTAGATATGAAAGTAATTGCTCGATTGTTTTCAGTGTGTTTTCTTCCTTTGTTTTGGATTGTCACAACACCCAAAATTAAGTGGGCAGTAGTGAAGCCCCCCACTCTGGCGGCGGAAGTAATTAGTATGCAAACTTAGGTGTCGGAAGTAATTAGTATGCAAAATATATGACGCAACTTTGCTGGCCCTAACCCTAACCCTGGGCCAGGTAGCGCGACCAATTAACGCGGGCAGGCCTGGGCCAACTGTGACAGGTAGCGCGACCAATTAACGCGGGCAGGCCTGGGCCAGATGTGGCAGGCGATCAATTAGCATTGAAACTAGTTTCTGGCAAATTTATAATAAAACGACAAGAGGTTTCTCATAGTTTGCATGTATAAAAGTATGAAATAGAAGTTAGTTTTTAAAACCTACCGTTAGCTCAGTTGGTAGAACAAAGGACTGTAGTTATTACCAAATCAGTATTCCTTAGGTCACCGGTTCGAACCCGGTACGGTAGAAAATTTTTTGCCTTACAACCATGTAACAACGGGAGTCCCTCTCTTATTTTCAACACGCAATTGAAATTCGTTTTAATTTTGATGACTCGTTTTGAGCAATAAGTTTCCAAGCAGAAATAAAAAATATCGCAACAGAAATAAGCAGTTGCCAATCCCGGGTTGTCAAATCCGTTGTTATAATCGCTATTTGCATGTTGTTCAACATTATTTAGCAAACCTACATACATATATACGGTCAAGATGACCGAGTCAGATAGAATACTTGAAGGAAAAAACCTGTAGAACAATTTAACAGTCTTAGTTGTAATATTTTTTCTCTATTATTTGTATCAATAAACATGTTTTAAACTTTGCTGCGTTGTTATGCGTTGCTAAGTCATCAGGAGGCGTGTAAGTAATTAAGGGGATTAAGGTAATACGAATTTGCATAACTAAGTGTATTTCGATGGATAGATAGGGATTATTTTTAACGCCGGTGTATACCTTAAAATCACGCACGTGGCTTTGCGGGTGCATGCATATATTAAAGTACAACATATTTGTACACGGGTCTTTTCGCGCGGGCGGAAAGAGCGGGCTTTGCGGGCAAAAATTTGCACAATATTTCAGTTTTAGAATACATTTATTTCTTCAAAATGTTTTACAAAATTTAGTAAGGCCTACTTCTAAGAGCGTAACGTCTAGGTGTTTTTGTTATTTTTAAAGAGTTCTCATATTCTTGTCTATCTTCTGGGGATAACTTTGCAAGTTTTTCCGGCTTCATTGGAATATATTTTGGTCGGTCGCTCAATATAAAACGTTCATAATCCTCTCTTGCTTCCGGAGTCATTCGCGCTAGGTCACGTTCGGTCCAATCTGCCGGATATTTTATTTGTCCATTTTTGGTGTGAACTCCAATCCACCCTTCTTAGTGTTAGACGTACCATACGAACATAGCTCGCAGAAACCAATGACATGCGAAAACAGTAGAGGTGACTGTTCATCACATATCATACATTGAGCGTCTTTGCCCCAGTAGAAATCTTTCCACGAACATCTTGGGCACTTCATTAAGTATACAATGTGACCAGTTTCTTCACCACAATGGTTACAAGCTAGTTTCTCGGGCTCACCATCATCCTCATTATCATCATCCTCATTATCATCATATTCGCTTTCATTATCATTCTTGTCAGATTCCCTGTTCTCTTCATCAGATTCGCTTTCAACATCACTCTCAGATTGTGGCATTTCATGTTCCTCCTTTGCCATTTTTGACAATAAATGCTCATTTTTAATTAAATCTTTATTAACCCCTGCTTCTACTAAACCTTTTGTAAACAGGTCAAGCCCTCGTGGTTCAGGAATGTGAGAGTTGTATGGTAAAAGTGCGTATTGTAAAAGGTTCTCGATGTTAGTACGAGCAATGTCTCTTCCATGATAAACAATCTCCCCCTGAGGATTCCAAGTTAATAGATCACTTGATATAAGAATAGAATGTAGAATTTTTTCTGCTGTAGCTTTTTTGACATTATTGTTGAGATACAAAAGTATATCTTCAATGCGCTAATGTCGCGGAGATGTTTTACTCTCGATGTTCATTGTTGAAATGATGTATAAATTGTAGTCACAGGGCTTTTATACAAGTTCAGCCAGGCTTTCCAAAATAGGACTTAGTAATAGTCCAAGGAAACCTTCACCACGTTGAACGAGTATCCGTTTTTTTCTTCTTCCACATTTTCCTCTATCTGCCAACCTAAGCATTTCATTTTTGTAAGGTCGGAGTTTCTTCATCACATGCTTCGGCATTAAATATTTTCTTTTCATAACGTTTTCTACACAGAAACACAGGCAGTGTACTTGTTCGGCGCTTGCTGTTTCCAGTAGTGCTTGTTGTTGATCAGGCTCGGACGTGCCCAACAATTCAAGATATGGCTTGTGCCTTAGAAGATTGATCATTTCTGTTCGACGGTTTGGAAGCAAATGAGTAAAACACAACAATAAGGAAGCTTATATCGGAAGAGAGAAAGCAATTTATACAAGGCTCCGAGTTATTGAGAGCTTGACTCTGAGCTTATCGAACCTGGCTCCTTGTGCATGTCAGATAAGGAAGATAAGAGGATAAATATAAGGAAGATAAGGATAAGGAAGATAAGAAGATAAAGATAGGAAGATAAAGATAAGAAGATAAAGATAACGATAACGATAAAGAAGATAAAGATAAGGATAAAGATAAGAAGATAAAGATAAGGATAAAGATAAGAAGATTAGGATAAAGATAAGGAAGATAAAGATAAGGAAGATTAAAGATAAGGATAAGGAACATAAAGATTAAGATAAGGATAAAGATAAGGAAGATAAAGATAAGGATAAAAATAAAGATAAGGATAAGGATAAAGATAAGAGGATAAAGATAAAGATAAGGAAGATAAGGAAGATAAAGAAAAGGAAGATAAGGAAGATAAAGAAGATAAGATAAGATAAGGATAAAGATAAGGAAGATAAATATAAGGAAGATAAATATAAGGAAGATAAATATAAGGAAGATAAAGATAAGGATAAAGAAGACAAAAAGATAAGGATAAAGATTAAGATAAGGATAAAGATAAGGAAGATAAAGATAAGGAAGATAAAGATAAGGATAAAGATAAGGATAAAGATAAGGATAAAGATAAGGATAAAGATAAGGATAAAGATTAAAAGATAAAGATAAAGATAAGGAAGATAAGATAAGATAAGGGTAAAGATAAAGATAAGGATAAAGATAAGATAAAGATAAAGATAAGGAAGATAAATATAAGGAAGATAAAGATAAGGAAGATAAAGATAAGGATAAACAAGATAAATATAAAGAAGATAAGGATAAAGATTAAGATAAGGATAAAGATAAGGAAGATAAAGATAAGGATAAAGATAAGGATAAAGATAAGGATAAAGATAAGGATAAAGATAAGGATAAAGATTAAAAGATAAGGATAAAGATAAGATAAAGATAAAGATAAGGAAGATAAATATAAGGAAGATAAAGATAAGGATAAACAAGATAAATATAAAGAAGATAAGGATAAAGATTAAGATAAGGATAAAGATAAGGAAGATAAAGATAAGGGAGATAAGGAAGATAAGAAGATAAATATAAGAAGATAAAGATAAGGATAAAGATAAAGATAAGAAGATAAAGATAAGGATAAAGATAAGAAGATAAGGATAAAGATAAGGAAGATAAACATAAAGATAAGGATAAGGAACATAAAGATTAAGATAAGGATAAAGATAAGGAAGATAAAGATAAGGATAAAGATTAAGATAAAGATAAAGAAGATAAAGATAAGAGGATAAAGATAAAAATAAGGATAAAGAAGATAATGATAAGAATAAAGATAAAGAAGATAAAGATAAGGAAGATAAAGATAAAGATAAGGATAAAGAAGATAAAGATAAGGATAAAGATAAGGATAAAGATAAGGATAAAGATAAAGAATATAAAGATAAAGATAAGGATAAAGATAAGGAAGATAAAGATACAGAATAACACTGGATAGATGCATTAATGAATATATAGAACGAATACGCCAACTTATTATCACTTCCAGCTAGACGTTTGTGGTGTGAACATGTCCTTTCCGTGCAATATATGTGCCAAAGTATTTTCAACACACGGCAACCTCAAGCGTCATACTTTGAATGCCCATGGAGACGTTCAAAGCAAACCAGTTGAAATCTCAGCAGGATCTACAGTTTTGCAGCATCCTTTCACATGTATCGTAGCTGGGTGTACCCAAAGCGGCAAGACTGT